AACGGGTGCCCCTTGGCGGCCCCGGCGCGGGGAGGGTTTGCAGTCGTGGGAGCCAGCCGCCGAGGTTTCCGAGCCAGCGTCCCCGCGGCCGGCGGTGTCGTCACGGTGACGAGAGGGGGGTTGGCCAAGTTGGTCTCTTGTTGGGGGGGGTGCTCGGGACTACTGCGTCAATGACAGATGTGCCTGTGGTTGGGCTCGCACGCCGTGGGTGGCTATCATCAGGGGAGCGAGAGCTGGCCCCGCGGGTGCAGGGAGGGCTGGTGCCGCTTCGTACTGGCGTCGCGGGGGAGGGTACCACTTCGTTGCCCCAGTCGGGGAGTTCGGGCGCGCGGGCGGCAAAGGTGTGGAATTCTGCCGGTGGGCCTGCCGTCTCAATGTGCTTCTCGCCGAACCGTGCCCACCAGCCGTTATCGCTGTGCTCCCTGACAGGGGTGTTGTCGATCTGCCTGCGCAGCTCCTGCGTGCGCACGAAGGGAACGTCCTTGGTGAGTTCCTTGAATGACCCAGTGGCGAGCTTATCGGAACTGACCTGCGTCGAGAATCCCACGAGGGCTTCCAGGGTGTGGCGAAGAGGGGAGGGACCGCGTATGGACCATTGACCGGCGTGCTGGGGCCATTTGGGCAGTATGGTGGGGTCGGTCGAGAGAACGCAGAGAAGTGTGTCCACGCGGGCGGCGGCGATCCGCTTGCCTTACCAAATGGCAGTCGTTGGGGAGGTAGGTTGGCGCCACCCTGTCGCCGTGGGCCCTCTTCAGGTAGGGGAGCAGTAGGGGCGGGCCCCAGCTTTGTTTCTGCCCTGCTCTGCGGTCTATTCCTTCCGCTGGTCGTCCAACAACGGGTCCAGGTCGCGTGGGAAATCGACCAGTCTGACCTCGATTGGCCTAGCATCCAGGCGGTTCCATTCAGACTCCTCGGCGGCCTCCAAGTGATCAGCGTCGATGCATGTCAATGCGGGGTGCGCTTCCTCGGCCCCGCGCGTCGTGGGGGGGCGTCCGTGTTGGTCCGGGGCGACCAGGCCAAGGGCGCCCGCCGTTCTTGCTGAACGGGACAGGGTTGATAGCGGAGGCTCGATTGGGTACGAGCTCGCTGGGCAGCGACGGCTCGCCGAGCACTGGCGGAGCGGAGTGTGGCTCGGAGGTTGGGGGGCGGGGGTAGACCAGGTGGGCGTCCCGGTCGAGCAAGCCGTTGACGGCGCGGGGCTTGCCGTCCCACGCGTGAGCGAGGCATTGGCGGCACATCCATGCGGCGTTCCAGCTGCGGCTGTTCCAGGCGACGCCACGGCCCCCCCGCGCCGGGAGGCCACCCGCACTTCTTTGCCGCGACTCCGTGTCAGCCTTCCGTGCAAAACATCCGAGCGCAGGCGCTCATGCCTGCCAAGAAAAAGGGGGGGCCCGGATGGGCATCCGTCGCGCGTGGCAGTGTATCACTTGGATTCGTATGCCGAAACCTGTCGCCCCCTAGCCGCGTGGGCGGTAGGGCGGTGTTGGCAATCTTTGGGACGTGGAGACCTGAGGGCTCCAATAGGAAATCTTCGAGGGCGCTGGGGGTCGCAGCGTGGGGGGGCGCCGAGAACGTGTGATGGGATGCGGTCAGGGGTAATGTATCCACGGGGGGGGCCTGGAAAGGGGTTCCTGGCGAGTGCAACGGCCTGTGCCTTCTCGTGGAGAGAGTGGTCCGGGGACAGCTGGTGACCCTCCTTCTCGACCGCGTGTGTCCAGCATTGACCGCGCAGCCATGTGCAGCCCAACCCGTTGTCATGCGCCTGCAGGCAGTTCTGGGCAATATACGAGCGGATACTATCGTCGAGCCAAGTGCAGTCCGTGTGCTTGAGGTTGAGCTCGTAGCAGTAGTCGCACTTGTACCTGGCCGTCTTCCGGTCGGCGCTGAAGCGAATTTCGCCAGGGGCCAGGCAGCAGGGGGTCTCGGTCACGCTGGGGAGTGGGGCGGGGGGTAGCGCCCTGTCCAAGGGGGTAAGCCCGAACGAGACGCCCCCGCTGAGGAAGGACATCTCGGAGGGGCCGGCGTCGGGCCCCGAGCCGTTGTCGCTGCCTGTGAGGTCCCGGCGTAGGAGACGGATGCATGCGTCCCGACCGCGAGAGGATGCCGATGTTGGCCCGCTTCGCAATATCCTCCAGGACCAGCATCGGGGCCTTTAGCTTGAAGGGGAAGTTCTCCATCTCAGCGTAAGTAGTAGGGCAATGTGCGGCCTTAGCGGTGGGGTGGTGGCGGGCAGTGGCCACGAGCTTGCCCGCCAAGGCGATCAGTCCCTCCAGCCGCCCGCGGAGCCGACGGCGGTCAGAGAACGTGAGCCCCCAGGAGGCCGCGAACTGGGAGCGGAAGTGGTGGTGGTCGTTTAGCCAAGGGCAGCAGACACCCAGGATGGCTTCAAGCGTGTCCCCTGGCCCGGAGGGGTCAGGGAAGGGCCAGAGATGGGCCCGGGGTTCGCGCTTCATGAGCAGCATGATGATGAGAGCGCAGCGGGCCTTCTCGGTGGACATGATGCGGTCGTTGGGGTCAAGCAGGTCGACGCGGTGCTGCGTGGCTCCATCGTGGCCCTGTAGAGGGCTGACGAGACTTTCGTAGCCCGGGTCAACACGGTGGCGTGGGCAGGTCCTGGTCCCGTGGGACCATGCACGGAGGGCCTGGTGCTGGAGGTTAAGTGGGGTGCAGCGGTTTTTGTTATGGGGTCTCCAAGCGGCGCGGCCTTGGACCTGCGGCCTAGGAGGCAGCTCGTTAAAAGAAATCCGGCACTGGGGGTTGTCCCAGGAACCCCGGGAAGTGCCTGGGCCGACGGACCAGACCAGGGTGGCCCAGGTCATTCTTTAATCCAGATTGCCCGCGTCTAGCCCTAGTTCCACGTCGTATAGGTACCCCAGGTGGCTCCAGGCTTTCCTGTCGAACTGCGCAGGGTTGGATGGGGCGCCCTCGATGTTGCACTTGTGGGGGCGCAGCCCTGCCGCCAGGAGGGCGACGGAGAAGAGGGGGTCGGTAAGGAGTTCCTCGACATCTGGCGTCCGAGGTCCCCCCAGCGCTGGCGCGCTCGTCCCGTCTCCTGGCCACCTCCTGGTCGCCCCTAGCTCTGTCGTCGTGTGCCTCGTTGGGGGGGGCCCGCCGGCGCCCGGGAGGCGAGGTCGTGGATGGGGTCGAAGGTGGGGTCGATAAGCAGCTCGTTGCGATTGCCCGGGCTGCGGCTGGGGAGGTTGCGAAAACGTGCCCAGAGGCCTGCGAGGCGACCGTAGTCAGAAAGGAGTCGCAGCTTGGAGTCGGCCATAGAGGGCATCATGCGGCCGTCTGCGATGACCACGATACCGCCATTGGCGCGCTTGAGCCCGACGTTGACTCTGTTGGGGTTGTCCACGAAGCCCCGCGCGTGGTTGGACTTGGACCGCGTGGTAAGGAAGATGACCAAGTCTGCTTCGCCACCCTGGCTGGCATCGACTGTGGATGGGGCGAGCCGCCCCGAGGCGCGGTGCTGGTGGGCGACCTGGCGGATGCCGGGGAACACGTGGCCCAGGCCTTTGGAGCTGGTGGGCCAGGGGCTGAAAGCCCCCCCCCCGACCTTGCCTCTTGGGGATGTAGTCTGGGTCGCGGGGGTTGGGCACCGTGTCGGCGCACGTGGATGTCTGGACAGAGGCAGCGGGAGAGCGGCTCCGCTGCGGGGCGGCAGCAGAGGAAGAGGTGTCGGCGCCGTCGCGACGGCGACGACCGGGGGCGCCGCGTGTAGCGGCACGTCGTGGTGGAAGGGGGTTAATGGGTTGGCGGGGGTCGGGGTCGGGAGCGTCGGAGTACTTGTCGTTCTTCATCGCGATTTGCAGAGCTTGGGGGGTGAGCGGCCAGCCGTCCTTGAGAATTCCCTCCTGCAGCCTGTATGGGGAGTTCGTGTTCTGCGCGTGGGGATGGAGCCCGTCGCAATCCTTCTTCAAGTCTTCGGCGCTGATCCCGAGTAGACCCGCGAGGGAGTCAATCCGCTTAGGGCCAAGGTCTGCCACTCTGGGCAGGGTAGGCGCAGCGCCAGGGGACGGTCTGCGAGTTGTTTGAGGAGTCCGCGGAGGAACTCCTGGTTGCAGTATGCCTTGGAAGGGAAGAACGAAGAACGGGTGCATGCGGTAGATGAGGGCCAGGGTGATGCATGCGGTCCCTTGGTCTCTCGGTTGGTACCCGAGATAGTCATGTAGTCGCTGGAAGACGGACAGAGCAAGGCCCATGTCGGCAGCCTTCTTAAACAGGACGGTATGGGGGGAGTTGCTGGGGGTCGCCGACGACCACGAGGTGGCCCCCGCTACGTATACTGTGGACCATAGACATGGCCGCGGTTACCTCGCTCGTTTGTCCGGCTTCGTCAATGATCCCCAGTGGGAGGCAAAGTGATGCCTTGCCGTTGAGCTCGGCGGCCGCTTCGTGTGTCGCGAAAACCGCCCCTTCTCGCTGCGCTGGGCCCTTCCTGTAGTTGTTGAACACCGTGTTGTCGCCGTGCTCAGGGGGGTGGGTGCCGTTAGCCCAATGGAAGTGCCCTCCTGGGGTGAGGTGGGCCAGATCTCGAATGACTTTCCCCCGCCGGGCAGGGCGCGAGAAGCCGTGGGGGAAGCGAGTGTCGTCCTCGAGGAGGCCCTTGTCCATGGCCGCGGAAAAAGCTACGAGTTGTTGATCCGCAGCGGTGTTGGAGCCAGAGAAGACTCCAACGGCTTGGCCGGTGCGCAGGGCGGGGGCCCACGCTGCGACCAAGGCAACGACGGTGGTTGTCTTCCCAGAGCCAGGGGGGCCGTGCACCAGGGCGACCTAGTGGGAGTTGCACGAGTGGAGAACCTGCCTGGAGAGGTCGTTGAAGGAGAGAGCCGCGGTCGTGCGGTCGAGCTGGGAAGCGGTCGGGACTGCCCTTGGGCGCTGAAAGACCTGCCCGACGCTCTCGTCGATGTCGTTCGTGCTGATGGCAGGAAATCCTACCGTTCCAGGGTGGCCGGTGTCGGAGGTGTCGGGGCCTTGGATGGCCGTGCCAAGGGCAGACGCAGCGCGGCAGCGGTGGGCTGCGCCGATGTTGTGGCCAAGCTGCACCTTGTTGGCAATCTGCTTGTCAGCGACATCGGCGCTCCTGAACCTCAGGAAATGCGTGAGGGCGGGGATGGGGGCGCCGAAGAGGTCCCGCGGGTCGTGTCCCTTCATGTATATCTCCTCCACGGCTTCGTGTAGCTTCCAGCACTGTAGCTCGGGCGGGGCCTTGTCCACTCTGTAGATCGGTTCGGGCGCTTTACCAATGACTGGTGTTGTCGTCCGCTCAGGGTGGAAGGGGCCGAACTTTTCGCGATTGTACCTTGCGAAGCAGGTATTGAGGGGGTACCCGGCGCCCTTGTTGGGCGCGAGACGCCTGCACTCTGCCTCGGAGAGTGTGTTTCCGAGCACCTTGAGTCCAGGTCAGACCACCTCTGTCACGGCGATCTCGTCGGAAGAAGGGCCCTTGATGGAGATCGTCAACTTCTCCGAACAGTGGCCGTCGTGCTTCTTGTGTTTGAGCCGGTAATCTCGGTCCCAGTCGAGACGGAGGTCTGCCCATTTGTCGCCGGGCTCGATCTTCTCGGAGACTCTCCACTTGTCGCAATCCCCCAGGCGCGTGGTCTTTTCCACTTCTGCGATTGTCGCGCCTCAGGTGGCCGCTTGTTTTCGGCGGAGCTCGCTGCGCGTCCGCTCGGTCCCGTCATCGCGCGGCTCAAGTGCGGCTCTGTTCCCAATCCAAATGATACAGTGAAGGCGGGGGCCGCGGTCCTTTAGGGCATAGGGCCAATCGCGGGGATGGTGGGCGGTGCCTGGGGCGTGACACATGGGAACCCTGGCAAGTGTCCTCGCCCCGGGGTGCGAAGTGGGGTGCTCGCGCAGCCGCTGGATCTCCAGTGCGGCCGCTAGCTGGGGGGTCGGGTGTTGCTCGTGCCTGGGCCCGCGCCTTGGCCAAGGGCTTCGGGCTGAGAGAGGGGCGGCTTCGGGTCCTAGCTGTCCCGCGTGGCGCGGAGGAGGCGGCGAGCCGCGTGCTTGGGTCGGGTTGGGCGACGGGGGCGTCCAGCAGCTGGGGGACAAGGGCCCCGGAGGGTCGAAGTAGGGGTCGGCCGGCGGCCAGCGGGCGTGGCTGGGGTTGTTGGCCAGAGCGAGAGCGTCTGCGAACGGGGTCGGGTCGGTGTCGGTGCGCCATGGGAGGGCCATGGAGGGGTCCCGAGTTGCGGCGGGGTCGGCCGCGGCGCCGGTGGGGCGGGCGTAGTCCTGCAGCATATCGGGTAGCGGATAGCTGGCGGGAGTAAGGAAGATTCCAATAGTCTGGGAACTGGATATTCATAAGTTGCCTGGTTCCTCCATCCAAGACTCTCTCCGTAAGCTGCCAACCTTTCCAGCGAAAGCGCTTCGCTGTTTGTTCTGTGACCCTATCCGTAGATTTGCCCTGCAGGCGGGTCCACATATTGCCACTGGAGGTCTGCGTTTTGGGGTCGGGCCATCCAGAGACCCACTGCCTGCCGCTCGAGCTCCAACAGGTGCGGGCCGCCGGTAGAGTGATCCCTTCCGTATACTTCCTTCTGGCAGGGCTCGCAGTAGAAGCACCGGTGGCTATTGAAGTAGACCCACCGTAACCAGGGGCAAAGACGTGCCACGAAGAGGCGATCTTCGGTGGATCCGGGGGCCAGGGGAGGGTCGGGTTCGCAACTGTAACGACTCGGCCAGCGGGCCAGCGGCCCGCTGTGATTCTTGCCGCCCATAGCGCTGAGCCAGATGCAGGAGCCAGCACCTTAGCGTCCTGGGTCGCTCGCCGCGGGGTGTGCTTGGCGAGCGCGCTCCAGCTGCTCGGCGGCGGTCGCGACGGCATCGGAATCGAAGAGGTCGACGGATGCGGGGAAGAGGATGGGGGGGCGGGAAGGGAGGTTGAGCCAGACGGTGTGAGAGGCGAGGCGGATGCTGCCTCCCCTCCGACGGGCAGCAGCCCAATATATCTTAATTGTGGCGGTGCGGTCGGCGGCCTGGTTGAGCCGTCTGCGGACGGCCTGCCAGGTGGGCGTCCAGCAGGCCTCGCTGGCTTGCCGCAGGGTCATGTCCATTTGCTGACTGCAGGTGCAGCCGGCGGCGCCCGCCCGCACCTGCACCGTATGTGATGGCAGCGAGGTTGTCGCCGACGACACTGGCGGACCGGACCGGGCCTGGGACGTGAGGGAGTAGGGTTAGACCAGCTCTGCAGCCTGCGGCCTCTGCCGTTCGGGTATCGTCGCAGCCCGGCAAGGCATGAACTGCGCGGCCACCAGCTGCGGGGCGGCGCGTTGGGGGTTGTGGCACCAGAGGAGGGCCTCAGCACCAGAGACTCAGGTCGATCAGCCATTCGGGCGCCACCGTCGAAGGTGATCTCGTAAGGCCAGCAGGCAGCGTCTGCGGATGGAAACGTGGCGCGGTCCACGGTGACTTCGCCCCCCTGCTCAAGGTCGTGCGTTGCCGTAAGTAGGAGCGTGTGGGAGTTGCATGTGGAGCAGAACCTCATGGCCCACTGTGCGGATGGTTGCCTTGAGGGGCGCGGACAGGGGAACCGGCCGCGCCCGGGGAGGGGCCGCCCGCCACCCGCCTGAAGGGCGGCAAGGCGGGTGCTCCCGCGCGCCCGCCTGGGCGCGACTGGGAGCCGTCTGGCGTCTCCTCCACCTCGATCGGCGGTTCGCGTTTGATGCGGGCGGGCCGCGCCTTGCATGGCGCCAGTTTCCGGGGGTGTGGGGTTGCGCTCCGTGCGGCGGGTAAGGAGAGGGACCCATCCGTCTCTTCGTCGCAGCGGGGATCGTCGTCTGCGACGCAGAGGCCCTGTGTGATGAGTCGAGCAGTCTCTATGGGGTCGAGGGGGGTGTCATCGAGACCTGCGCTATACTGGTAGGAGACCTGAAGGACAATGCGGCTAGCTAACTCTTGGTGTGCTCCATCAGATCGTATGGCGGAGCCAATTTCATTGGGATGGTCGCTGGCCTTGGTCAGCTGCCAGGCAAACGCAACGGCTGTGCACCAAGTCCAGAACTGCTCCGTGGTGGCCTCCCCGAGCCCGCAGAGGGGGCAAGAGCCGTGGGCCCCGCCCGCCGTCGGCGTTTCGAGGGAAGGGCGCGCCCCTCGGAGGATCAGCCCGGCGGGCCCGTGCGCGGGCGGGAGTGGGGAGGGGTCCATGGCAGGCCAAACGGCGCAGGAATGGCCCCGAGGGCCTAGGCGCGAAGAGCACCGCGCTTGCCCGAGGGCGTTAGGGCTCCGGGTGTACCAAACCTTCGAGGCGTCTCCGCTACATATGTGGCAGGTGTGTGGTAGGCGGTCCTCGGCAGCTCTCTGGCGGGCCGACCCAGGCATCCCTTTCACGAGGAATCGGAGGACGTGATGGGCGGCGGTGAAGGAGGAGCAATGGCGATATAGGTTCCACTCCGCATGGGTGCCTGGGGCCCACCTTCTCCGAGCACCAGCGCCATGCATCCAGGCGGCGACTGCGCCTCCGTACAGCTGGCCCCGGGCGGCGGCGTAGACCACCCGCCCGAAGTATTTCCCAGCGAGTCGGCCTGGGGAGTGTCTCGCCCTGTGCAGGAGTTGGGCGGCCTTGTGGTAAGTGAGCACTTTGAAGCTGGGGCGTGGGTTGGGCACGTCGTGTGGTGTGCGGGCGGCCCAGTCACATAGCTTCTTCCACCGTGTGGTGGCCCTTTTTTGTGCAGTGGCTGGCCCCCGCGCGTCGTGGAATGCGCTTGCTCTGGCTGTGATGGCACGTGCGCCGGCGGCGGGGCAGCGCGGGCAAGCTGGGACTTGAAAAAGGATGCCGAGCCCAGTGAACACGTTGTCGGGGGCCCAGGGGCAGGCCGCCAAGCCGAGGGCCACCCTCAGCTGCGCCTTCAGCGTGCGCTCCTGGTGGGTGTCTGGTGCCATATTGTCTGCTGGGTAGGGGATGACAGAAGCAAAGTCGGCGTTCCAAGCGGCGGCAGAGCGGGATGGGGAAAGCGACGCGATCTGGAGGGCCATGGCCCTGTCACGCATCTTGGCGATAGGTGTGGCCCAGGTCCCGGCGGCGAGTTCCGTGCGTTGGGTGAGAGTAAACGAGCCGAGGCGCGGGAGGATCTCTCCCTCCGCCGCCCGGGAGACCACTGCGGCGCCGAGGTAAGGCCATACCTGCTTCGCGCAGTGGGCGCCGAAAGGGGAGTGACTGAACAAACGGCGCCACCAGTCGTGGTGCCCAGCAAGGACAACCGCCGTCTTGAAGGAGCAGGAGCACGAACTGTCCCAGGAGGGGCATGTGCCGGCCTCCTCTTCCCCGGCTACTTGCCCCACCAAGGCGCGCAGGAGTGGGTGGGAAGGCCAGAAAGGAGGACCCCATCTGGCCTGGGGTGCGCCTGAACTGGGAGGTCCTGCAGGAGAGCCGCCAATGATGAGAGGCCGTGGGGGGTGAGCAGGCCCCGACATCGGTGCACGTCCACCAAGAGCCCAGCAGTATGGGCCGCCCAGGGGGGGGGGCGATCGAGGCCCGAAGTGCTTGGGGCCCGCCGCAGGCAAGGCGGGCGAGGTCGTCGACGCACGTAGGGCAGTCACCGGCCGCGCAGTTGGCGACAGTCTCAATTCAGGGGTCGTGCCCTCCACTCCACAGGAGGGGGGAGGCTGTCCCGCCCATCCCGACTGAGCGGAGTGGCTCCCTGAGTGGACCGGTGAACCTGCCTTTGCGGGTCTGAGCTCGTCGGTCGGAGATGGCCGCCCCGATGGCGTGCTGCAGCCCGACGGGCAGCTGCCATTGGCGAAGGAGTCGGCCCATCCACTGCAGGGAGACTCGCTCGGAGGCCTTGTTTTGGTCGCAGAAGATGACAGCCGTGCTGGGGGCGGGCCCGACGTCCTGTAAGGCGGTCTGTACGTAAGCGTCGACAGTGCGTTGAGACGGGCCGAGGAGGGCGCTCCGGGCATCGCCGGGCCCTGGGTCCTGTAAGGGCGCGCTGCCCAGGTGGGTTGTGACACGGGTGATGTTAGGGCTGCGTTGTCCTCCTTTCTTGGCAGCCTGGTGGGGGCTCAGGAGGGGTTCGGCAACTTCTCCCAACCGTCCCGCCAAGGTAGCCCCGAATAGTCGAACGAAGCAAGTTGGGAGCTGGAGGGGTCGCATGTCGTTCGGGTGTTCTGCCCCAGCCTTCTTCCCGATCCAGACGAGTAGGCTGAGTAGGTCGGCCGAGGGGCCAAGGACAGAGAGGATACGGCGAGGGCACTCGTGCGCAGCGTGCCAGGCCTGCCCGAATGACACGAAGCGGGACCCAGGGTGGTAAACTTCGTAAGGCTCGCCGTCGGCCCCCGGGGCGCTGCCGCTGGGGGCAAGGACCGCGGAGGCGATCCTCCCCCAGCCGGGAGCGGTGGTGTCAGGGAGGGAGATCGGGCCTCTGCTGCTGAAAATACCGGTTCAGAATACGTTCGGCGGTGGGGGGCAACGGGGGAGCAGACTGCCAGATGGGGCTGCGGCTGTCCCGGAGGACGCGTTCGACGTCAGCCGGTTGGTCGTGCCCAGTTCCATCGATAGACTGGGCGCCAATGACCCAGACCCCCGACGTCATGATTTTTTCACGACGCGACCCCCAGAGGTCCGGACCCAT